TAAAAAAAAACGTATATGGGTGGGGGCTGCAACCCGGGTGAAGACAGTTTACTTAAAATAGAGAAACCCTACCAAGGCTGCTGCAGAAAAACGAGAGCGCACACGCTCGACAAGAGTGGCGCACAAGCACGCAACACATCCCGGTCGCCTGCTTTCCGTCCCTCAATGTGCGCGCGCGCGTCAACAAGAGCAATAAATAGACGTGCTGTAACCGTCGAAACGTGGCGGACGAGAAGTGGTGCCCCAAACTTCTCGATGGCAGGCCAAATAAGTAAGTAGACATGAGCCATCCCGCCCTCGAAGAGGGTGTTCATCCCGTTGGAGCTTGAGCGGGGGTTCGATTTGTTGCCAAATAGGCAACCTTTACGCACAAGAAGCTGGTCGGGATCGGAGTAGCAAGTTGGTGGCAGAGGTAGCCCTTTCGTGTTTAGTGGTTGGGATGGCCGAACACCACCGACATAAGAGCTAAAGCGTTAACGCAGGAGGCACCAAATCGACAGCTCAAACTTGCGTGAGGGCGTGTAAAGTATTGCAGTGTATTACAGCAGACAGGACGATCTCTCGCGCCTCCGGGGGACCGGCCAATCAAAGTGCGTGGTCTCGATGCTTCTGACTGAAATCCTTCAGACACTCTTGTTTTTTTTTACAGTAAGGTGAAACGATTGGTGTCTTGTACGTGGGACCTGTAAGAGGAATGGTGGACATCGTATAACCCCTTTTTTTTTACCGCGGTGTTTTTGTTGTTCTGGCGACCCCCCTTGCCCTTGCTTTTGCCTTGCCAGGACACGCTTGCGTTGGGCGTCTTCGACGGGCACAGCGGAGGCGACGCGGCCCAGTTCGCACAGAAGGAGCTGATCGGACACATCAAGGTGATCCAGAGCGTCTCCGTGTGTCCGCCGCCGGTGGCCCAAAAACATGGATCTGTAGAAACAGACTCTACTGCCGCTTATTCTGATGCTACGCTGGAGCTCGTTGGCGTTGTTTTTTCTCCTGGGTTTCCGCTTGGGATTTGGCGGCGTTTTTTTTTAGTAATCCGCCCGCGCGGGATTGGATTTCTTTCGAGAACTAAGTGGATCTTGTAGGAGTCTAGGGAGTGTAATGTAAGGTTGAGGTGGCACCATGATTCGCTCGGTATCCATGTTCCGCTCTGTTTGCCCTGTTTTATGGCCGATCTGGTGCTCTACTGTTGGTCCTCTCCCGGTGATACATGTGCTGCCACGCTTGCGTGACGACGCTGTTTTTGCGGCAAAGTTCGAGAGTTGCAGATACATAGTAAGGACTCCGCTGACGTAATTCGCTGTTGACAAGTGGGCAAGGATGAATGGATGCCCCACGATTACGCTTTGGCCTGCAAGATGACGCCATTGGCCACCATGACATTCGTCTCTCTCCGTCGTTTCTTTGGCAAGATGAGTTACTCCCCTCTCCTCTCCTCTCTATCTTCTACTCCCTCTTGGGCACATGATCGTGCCGTGATCATTTTCATTTCCACGTTCCGCAGGAGACGGACGAGTGGAGACGAGGAGACGTGAGCACGGGATGCATCAACGGCTTCATGGCGGTGGACGTCTCGATGCGCAAGTGTGGGGTACAGAGCGGCACCACCGCGGTCTTGGCTCTGATTGGCCCGGAAGACATCGTCGTGGCCAACTGCGGGGACAGCCGGAGTGTTTTGAGGTGGGAATCCGATGCCGGTCGATGAGGCGGTAGAGGAAGAAGAGGCAGCGATAAGCAAAACGCGATGCCACCAATGCTATCTATGTGGTCTTGAAATAATGCTGACGTATTCGGACCGAAAAATACGTGGCGATGTGTGTATGTACTGCGCGGAAGTGCTCCAAAAATTCCCTTTTTTTGTTTGCAACCAGTCGTGCATTTGGTCGGCGGTGAAGCCATGTTGATTTCGTGACTCAGTTTGGATCATTCCCTCGCACGGAAACAATGCCTTCTGTTTCGTGCGAACTCCTACTTTCGCACGCAACACCTGTTTTCGGGAGAGAACACCAAGAAGAGGCATCGTCCTATCCTACGACCACGCGGGCATTGGTTGTTTACCCCCCCCCTCTCCCCGACTTCCGCGCGCGCCCGATTACACCCACACGAAAACACATCTACACTGCGCACCTGTTACACCTTTACCAGCCTTCCAGACACGCACGCAATTTGCACGCAGGGGGGTGTTATTTGAACTTCTGCCTCTGACTGCGCACAGCCACAGCACTCTTTTATTGAAGTATCTGTAGAGGTTCCAGGACGACGCGCGGAAAGTGTAGACTGCCGACGCGAGGACTCTGTATTTCTGTGTGGCCTAGGACTTTTGAGGTTGCGATCTCGCCCCCCCCATGCCTGCGACACCAGGGCTTGGCTAGGCCAAGGGCTCGTGGCCAAGCGCGTGGGCAAACAGACTTGCGTCAAGTTCTCGTATAGTCCGACCTTGAATCGAACCTTCCGCAGGGGTCGTGCGGGCGAGAGGTCTCCAACGTTTGAACCTCGGAGGATCAAAACCAGGCCGATCACCGAAACTACGCCGTACCCCCGACTCCCTGCGGAAGGTTCGATTCAAGGTCGGACTAAGCGAGGACTTGACGGAGATCCAGTGGCCAACTTCCGCGAGAGTCTTGCAGGCCGCCGGCCAGCCTTGTTCGTTAAGGCGCGAACCGGGAGTGTTTCTGTACCACCACCGCCTCAGCACTCTGCTGCGCCGATCCTTGCTGTATTAACGATATTGTTCCGCCTTGGCTGGGTCAAGGGCTCGTGGCAGGCGTGTGGACTTCCGGGCCTGCGTCAAGTCCTCGTGTCAACCGACCTTGATTCATAGCTTCAGCAGGGTGTCGTGCCACCGCGCTATGTCGGTGACCGGCTGGTTTGAATCCCCCGAGGTTACAACATGACCTGACTTCCCTACTGAACAGTGTGCTGTACGGCCGGATTATAGGAGGACTTGACGGTGGTGCAGTGACCAGCCTTCGTGAGAGTCTTCCAGGGCGTCGGCCAGCCTTGTTCGTTCAGGCACAAACCGCGATTGTTTGTACACTACCCCCGCCTCAGCACTCTGCTGCTCCTGTTCTGGCTGAATGAACGGCATTCTTCCGCTCATGAGAATCAACGGCACTCGCGCTATGCCTTAGCTCAGGTTGTTTGAGAATGTATACACAATCGCCGAAAGACTAGTTACACACCAGAGATGATGCCCCAATTCGAAAGGGGTGTGTCGGGAGTCTTCACGGCAGCGTTCTATCCTCCTTGTTCTTCCTGTTTTGAGGAGACCCAAGGACCCCGCAAAGTTGGTCCCTTCTCGGGGACGATCGGTCACTACCTGGCTGTCCGTTTTGGTGTTGGTGTACTTCTACCGTGTCCGTTTTGGTGTTGATGTAGTTTTACCGCGCACCATCCAGGTTACAGACCACGCGTTTTATTTTTTATCTTTTGAGATTATGGGCGTTGAAACATGTGAAAAAAGTGGAGGCGTCTTCGTCATGGTCGAGGAGGCGTCAAGATAAGAGACGCCAAGCGAATGCCACTACAGGCATGTTGCCTTGCCCGCCTGTCCGTTGGCGTAGACGTTTCAGAGCGGAGAGCGAAAAGCGTAGATGGCCGACGCAAACAGTCTCTGTTTTGTGGGGCCTGGGACGTTGAGGTCGCGATCTCGCCCCCTCCCCGCCTGGCAGCCATGAGACCCCAGGACTTGGCTGGGCCTACAATAGGGCTCGTGGCATCTAAGTCCTCGTATAACCCGGCCGTAAGGCGTACCTTCAGCAGGGAGTTCGGGCCATGTGGTCAATTGGGCGATCGACCTGGCTCGTATCCTCCGAGGTTCAACCGTAGGAGGCCACTCGCATTGGCCGCGCGAATGGCCTCCGACGGTGGATTCTGGGAAGATTCGAACCAGGTTGATCGCCCAATTGACAACATGGCCCGAACTCCCTGTTTGAAGGTACACCGTACGGCCGGATTGGACGAGGACCTGACGGAGGTCCAGTGGCCAGCCTCCGTACATTGTCGTACGCCAGGTTCTTGTGTAGAAGTATCAGTATACCTACAATCGCCAGAATGTCCATCCGAGTTAATGCCCCAATCGAAAAGAGGTGTGTTGGAATCAGTGTTCTTGGTCCATGTGTGTGGTGTTGTTTCAAGGAGACTCGAAGAACCTCCAGTATCGGTCTCTCCTCTGAGACGATCGGGCACCTCCTGACTGTCCGTTTAAGGGTTGCTTTCGTCTCCCACCGCCCGTCATCCACGCCACGGACAAGAGTTTACGAGCATAGGAAAATGTTGCTAACGTAGAGCCTCGATAAGTCTTCGTCATGGTCGAGGATGCGTCCAGAGAAAAAGAATTCAGGTGAATGCACACAGGCGTCTTGCCTTGCTTGCGTATCCTGTAGTCTAGCGGTTTCAGAGCGAAGACCGGACATCGTCGACGCAAACACTCTTGTGTCGTGTGTGACCTGGGACTTTGAGGTCGCGATCTCGCCCCCTCCGCTTGGCAGCCATGAGACCCCAGGACTTGGTTGGGCCCACGGTAGGGCTCGTGGCATCAATCCCTTGTTTAGTCCGGTCGCAAGGCGTACCTTCAGCAGGGAGTCTGGCCATGTTGTCGTTGTGGCGATCGGCTGGCTTGATATTCTCCGAAGCTCACACGTTGGAGGCGACTTGGCCGCGCCTCCCTTTCACAGTTCTGAGAAGGGTTGTGCGGCCGAGTGGCCTCCAACGGTTGAACCTCGGAGGTTTCACACCAGTGGATCGCCGAATTACACAGCGTTCCCGCCTCCCTGCCGAAGTTATACATTTTTCGGCCGGATTACATCTACGAGGACTTGGACGCAGGTCCATTGGCCAGTCTTGGCAAGAACCGGGACGGTCGTCGGTTCATTGCTCATTTCCGTGGATCACAATCCCGGCCGCACGGCTGAAACCCCTCCTCCGTCCCGCCCCATCCCATCCCGGCCTGTTCCGTCCCGTCCCGTCCCGAATCTGTTATTTTCTTGCCACGGGGCGAGCAGCCGCGGGGGCCGTCAGTTGCCCATGTCGGTGGACCACAAGCCCGGCCGCAAGGCTGAGAGCAGGAGGATTCTGCGCAGCGGGGGCTATCTGGATGAGACGGACCCCCGAAACCCACGTGTGGTTTGCGACACCCTCAAGGTGAGTGGGCGCAAAAAGAAGGTCGAGGCGTCTTTCGTCACCCGGCGGGAGAAGTAGGGCAACGAAGGTGTCATGTCACCCTTGCTCTTGACCTCTCTGCGGCGTATTTGTCGGGGCTCACACTTACATACATGCCCGTTTGAAATATTGTTTTATGTCGGCACTTGTACCCGTGTGAAGAAGTGTTCTTCTCCAACACACGCCTTGAAAAATTGGCGCTTTTGGTCCCTAGTTTGAGCGTTTTGAACGTGATGGTGGCATGTAACAGATGTCGATCGCCACGAGCCGTGCACTCGGAGACTTCGACTTCAAGTCCAACCCGTCCAGGCTGCCGGAGGAGCAGATGGTCAGCCCAGTGCCGGAGTTGTACACGAGGCGGAGGCGAGTCCTACAGGAGAAACACGTTAATACTTTATCTTTTAGGGTAGTTGGCCGTGTGACCACGGGAGGCGTCCGCGTCAGCTGGACGAGTGCGGACAGTAGAAGGTACTGGGAGCAGCCCGGAATGTTTCTTTATGTGAAGATAACAACTGTTGACGCCAGTTTTGCTTTCATCGCTGTCTCTCGGTGGTTTCCACCTGTAGCCCTTGCCGTCTTGATTTCTCGGCTTTAGAGCTCTGGCCCGGGGTGACATTCCCGGACTTTCTTTTTCCGACGCGTGCCTTGGTTTGCTCTTGTCACCCGAAGGTCTCCGGCCTCAGCACTTCCTTGCCTAAAGCCGTTTGTGCAAATAACGCCAAGTGTGTGGTGCTCGCGTTTCCAACGAGTAGCTGACTTATCTGTTTGCTCGCCCCTCTTCGTAACTCTGCTATCTCTCCCTCTCTCGCCCCCCCCTCCCCCCCTGTCCAGAGATCCTCATGACGAGTTCCTTATTCTGGCCACGGACGGTGTTTGGGACGTGATGGACAACCCTGGGATCGTGAGCTTCTTGCAGACACAGGCGAGACATTTGGACGTGGTTGTCCACTTTGCTGCTGCGCCAACAACCGCACTCGCGCGCTTTTTGCCCAGACCCAAATGTGTTTGATCTGTGTCTTGTTGAGTTAGGTCGACCGCACCAATCGGTTGACGAATGAAAGGACGTCTTTTGACTCAACTGACACTTCGACGTGCAGCACTGTCGCAAACACTCGCGTTTTGCGTTGTTCTTGCGTGCCCCGCCCAACCTTAATTTCTATAATTTTTCATCATGTCACGACAAATCCATCATATCTTCTCCACAGAAAACAGTCCGGGATTGATTAAATAATGAATTCACAGCATCACTCATTTTCCGCGAAAAACAACAGGCGGCCTGCCTCGCCCGAGGGGAAGAGATCTACGGAGAAACCGGAGACACCGGAGAAACCGACAGCGAGTTGCTCGCGAGGTCCGTCCTGAAGCGCTGCCTGGACCTCGGCTCCCGCGACAACATGACCATCGTTCTCGCGGACCTAAGACGGCGGCGGCGGAGGGCAAGGCCGAAGGTACCACCGCGAAAGCTGTCGCCGACGATAGGAGAGGGTCACGGCGGTGACGAAGAACGGGGGGGGGTGGCGGCTGCGATCGGGGCACACCGGGTCGGGAATCGTGGCGGCACCGAGGCGGCACCAACGGTAGCAGCAGCGGCGACAACAACAGCGGGTGCTGGAGACAAAGGAGACTTGGGCCCTAGCATGAGGGTTGGTAGTGGTGACAGTAGCGTTGGTGGTAGCGCGGTATCCGTGTCGACGGGAGGGGGTGACCCCGCTGTACACGGCTCGGTAGCAGCAGCTGCAGCGGAGGCGGGAGTGGACACAGGAGAAGCGTTGCGCCAGGACGGCGGTGGCGACGGCGTGGGTGCGAGCGATGGATCTTATCTGGCGGGGCACGTCGGCGACGGCCGGGGTGGGTCGTCGGGAACGCGCCCGGGAGAGTCAGCGGGCGTGTCAGGGCTGACGGCGGGAGGCGGTGGCGTAAATAATACCTCAAAAATCGCGGCAGAGCCCGATGGCGTTGCTGTCATCGGGGTTGTAGGCGTTTCGGGAGAAACCATCACCGGAGGCGCGGCGGCTGTAGTCGAAGGCGATGGCGTCGGAGAGGCCCTGACCGCGCGGGAGGCCGGCGGGTTGCCGCGGCCACCAGAAGCGGTAGACGGCAACCAAGAGCGGTAGCATCGGTGATGAAGGTTTTCAAGGAGGCGGATTCAATTGATGCCAAGATTGCTTCCTGAAGGAAGGGAAGTAATCCCAAACTCTTGGTAGCCGTGTTCACCACAGCGCACCAAGTGTGCCAGTAGATTTGTTGTTGTTAGGGGGGTTGGGGGGGGGGGGGGGGGGGGGGGGGTGTACTCATAGTCGTGCATGCCGTAGTCGTTAGACCATTGACCTCGCATCCCTACAAAGCCGGGACGGAGCACGCCGNTTGTCAAGACCAGCCGCGGGATTCGCATGCCCGTCTACTCCGTTAACGCCCGATTTTTTCGCGTACAGTAGCTGCTCCAGGGCGGTACAAGATGGCACGGAACTGTCCGACGCCCAGAAACCAGAGGCTTGTTGGGGAGCACATTGAGACAGCAGTGGCAAACTTGCTCAGGAGCGTATGCTGCAACCCCACCCACCCCCTTGGCACCCGGCAACACTTTCATCTAGACGCTGACGTCATTCAAGTCGTAATGTAGTACCCTCGTTGCAGCTCTGATGAGTTGTTGCAGAGAGAGGGACGTGGGTGTTCTTAGCTGTTGTGGTTTTCATTGTTTTGGTTGACTCTCCGTTTTCCCATTCCCGCGCTTTTCTAAGGCGTAGTGTTTCGTTTTGCCCGGCCCCTCCGTGCGGACGCGCTTGGTGATGTGAGAGCCTGGTCCGGTGAGAACCCGGCGTGCTCCGTCCCGGCTTTGTAGGGATGCGAGGTCAATGGTCTAACGACTACGGCATGCACGANCCCCCCCCCCCCCCCCCCCCTCCTTGCGGACACGCGTACGGTTCTAATTTGATGCGGCGGTTGTGGGAAAACGTGGTATGTGTGTTTGTAGCAGATGGATATGTGGAGGCGCGGTTTTGACTTTTTAGGCGTCACGATAGACGCTGTATTGCGATTCTATATAATCGATCACCTGTAGATACACCGTGTGTCATTCATGTCTTGACGCAGGTTGTTTCGTGTGAAGTTGCATACTTATATTTCGCTTGCTCTTGGAGATGATGCAGATAGATGTGTGATATTTAGTGGTAAATAGGTGTGAGCTGCCTGTAGTCCAATGAGACGAAGCAAGATCACAAGAGGACATTGTTTATTTACTGTAGTGGTGAAAGGATGTTTTGTGGTGAGCTGATACATTCGTGTGACGTGCGCACACGCTTTGACGTGGATTAGAAAGGGGGTTGGTTTACTACAAATTGTCTCCTCGCTGTGTTTCGCGATAGTCTACATGTGTGGCACCAGGCTTTGCGTGAGCAAGCAGAAGTACCCTATTTGTTTCACCGGCGCCTCCTTCAAAAACATTCTCAACGCTATGCCTCGCACGCTGTCTAATGTGCAAGGTGCTCTCCTGCTTGCGGATTTCTTAGAATTTCAACGTTTGAGTCTCATGATCGTCTCCAGCAGGGCCTGGGAGGTCGAAATGGATGACGGCGACAAGGAACATCACCACTTGTCCTCCATCCCGGATGTCATTAGCAACGACGCCCCTTCGCAACCTCCCGATTTGCCGCAGAACAGGATATCGTTAGGACACAGAACATGCACGCAGACCATGGTGGCAAATTCATTCAGCAACAGCGTCTTCTCCAGGGCGACGTGCAGCAGTAGTTAGTAACGGTTGAGGTCGGCGCTTCGAGCCCGTTCCTGCGTCAGGAAACGCGCTGTCCAAATTGCCTCGTCCGCGTGTAGTAATGGACCTTTGCTGTCGGTCCTTCTCTTGCTTCCCGAGTCGGCCCGGAAAACGGTCGTCGGTTTTTGTCCAATCATCTTCCCGAGTAATAGGTCCAGCAGGCGCCCAAGTGCAACGGAGAAGTTGGCCGACACACGGCAACCTTGGGAACCTCTGGGGGACACAACATTTGCTCATGGTGACCGGCTGACTTTCTTGCCTTGACGCTGCTTCTCGGCTGACGGAAGGAAGTCTGGACCACCGCTGGTGGCAAGTGCTGCATGCATGTCTCAATCCTTCGCGGAGAAAATAAAGGAAGCATGCACCACAGAAAAAAGGCGGGAAAATTTGAAAAAAAAAAGAAAGGCTCCCGTAGGGCTTCTATCGCAAGCGACCCTGACAAAAGCGGATCAAAAACGAAATACTTGCCAAGAAGGTGTAAAGATCTTCCCCAACGAATTGAAGTAGGACACACATAACACAGCGTCTCAGAACGACAAAAGCTAGCCTCTCAAGCCGAGACTCAAGGGGGCTCCTTGCAGCAAACTTTGCGCGACACCGGCCCAACAAAAAGACCTATTCGTACGCTATGTTACGCGTAACGAGGTTTGCATACAAGTGCATGGTATGTAGAACCAACCTCCCGTCGCAAGCCCTTGCAGGCCGATCAACGCAAGGTGCGCTACTCGACAAGGATGGATGGATGCCACCCAGACCAGTCGGTTGATTCCAACCCTATGCATGGCCTCTCGCGCGTTCACGTATGGGTCGTTTCTTTCCGGCAACTACACCCACACGCTTAGGGTGTTCCGCAAACTATATATATATGCTCCTTCATGGCTTGTCCTGGAACCAAGAGAAAACACCATTCGCATACATACCCCCCCTGCCCCCCTTTTCATATGTCTCTAGGTTACACCTTTATATTCAATTCTGCCCAAACAGCGTTAGTCTTGCTACATGCCCTCCCCCTCCCCTTTCATCTCTCTCTCTGTCTCTCTCTCTCCCTCTCTCTCTCCCTCTCTGTCTCTGAAGTGAGTACACACTAGCTAGTCGTTTCTGCCCGAATGCCGTTGTTGGTCTTGCTACATGAACATTTACTGTTTACCTGCTGAAAGCCACGAATCCGGGAATAACAAAGAAGAAAAAGCGATTCCTCCAAGCCCCCCCCGCGTCATCATCCCGACTACCAAATCCCCCGAAGTGGCAGCAGTGCTCACAACACCTCGAATGCAACCCAGGGAATCCACCAAAACCAAGAAACGTGCAGTGTTTCTAACAAGCCTACAGCCATACCGTGTGCCGTGTGGTGCGCCCCTCCTCACGACAGAGCATAGGCCTTTGCAGCCTCCGTGACGATCGAGCCGTAGTGCCCGGCGAACACCTGATGGGTAGGAAAGAGCCATGAGCAGCAGGGGGGGGGAGCGTACTCTTATGTTTTGCATGCCTTAGCGGTTAGACCATTGACCACGCGTCCTCGAGAGGACGGAGCATTGTTCCAACAGGACCGATCACCGATGGCCAATCGTTCCTTTCTACTTTGCCAAAGGTGGCTCAAAAATGTCTTCCCTAGTCTGTCTATCCTAACGATATCCCTTCCCGCCTTTTCAAACCACCTCCTATGTCCCACTACAGCTACCGTCCTTTCCTCTCTATTCCATGCCTCAAGCATCTCCCTGTACGTCCTATCTATTTTTCCCAGCTCAGTCACGTACACTTCCCTCTCCTTCTTGTACAACGGACATTCCGCGACTACATGAACACGGTCTTCGCATTCGAAGCCGCAATCACATTTGGACTCGTCGTCTTCGTCGTCGACCGTCCTATGTCTTCGTCGACGTTCTCGAAGGCCTATGTCCCCGGTCCTGAATTTGACCTTAAGCTTTGTTCCTGCATCCATTGGTCCATGTAGGTAGTCCTTGAACCGTATCCCTCCCTTCAACATTCCGTACACTTGTAGACCCTCCTTATCCTTGGATTATTTCCT